CCCAGGCTCGCTGTGCTCCAGAGAGAGCTCTTGACCACTCCTCTTCCTCCTGACACGAGTTAGGATGGAGAGGAGAGAGATGCCGCCCGCCGCTTCCCAGCTGCCTCGTCTATTAACGAACCCACACCGTCAGCCACTGTCACTCAGGACCCCTGTAAGGACACAGGGGAAGTGGGAACCAGCCCACACGGAAGGGGGAGCAAGAGGGAACAGTGGGTGCGTGGGGAGGGGTCGCAGTGGACAGTGGGAGAACCTCCCGGCAGTGCAGGCAACGTCTGGTGAGCAAAACCACGGCTTCTCTGAAAGTGGCAGGCTCGGCTGCCTGCGGGCCTGCGGGACTCCATGGAGGTGGGCGGGCTGGCGCGTGTCTTTCATCCCTGATGGCCATGCGCTGGGCGTTCTAATTTACACACTGCCATTTGAAACCGAGCTGCCCAGCCTCCCCACGCTGCCTGCTCACGCTGCCTGCTCCCGGGACTGAAATGAAACCTGGGTCATGGGTTCAATCCCAGGGATGGGGTGTGTTCAGGGGAGAGAGAAGAGCTGCCCTCACTGAGCCACCATCCCCCAGGGCCACCGTGACCCTCACCGCCCGGCCAGCAGATCCCAGGCCCAATGCCGAGGGGCAGGCAGGTGAGCGGGGCTGGAGGGTGGCACCTGAATCTCTGACAGCCGCCGGGCTCCCTGGCTCATGGATGTCTGGTGGAGGGAGCAGCTGATAGATCACAGCTGGGCCGTTGACCTTGAGTCTTAAGTAAAGTGAAGAATAAGAGGCCATATTTCTTCCATCAGAGCCCCGGGAGCTATGAAATATCGGAGTGTGAATAAGGACAGCGGCAGATCACTCCCCACGCCTGGGAGTGTGGCTGATCTGTCTTCCGGCCCTGTCACCTGCTGGGCAGCTGGGATCAGGGTGCTCAGGACGCAGCGAAGGGAGACCCAGGGACTCCCCAGGCCCCCACGGTGCTCTCTCTGGAATGGGACAGGAATCACTGAGATTCGTAGGTTCCTAGAATGTAGGCCCTCACCTCAAATGTCGCCCTTTTAGCCTGGCCGGGTGGCTCAGTTGGTTGGAGTGTCCTCCGTACCAAAAGACTGCAGGTTCGGTTCCCAGTCAGGGCACATACTAGGGTGCGGGTTTGATCCCTGCTCAGGATGTATAAAGGAGGCAACTAATCAATGTTTCTCTCTCACATCCATATTTCCTTCTCTCTCTCTCTCTCTCTCTCTCTCTCTCTCTCTCTCCCTCCTTCCCTCTCCCCCTTCTTCTCTCTAAAGTCAATAAAAAACATACTTGGGTGAGGATTTAAAAAATAATAAATAAATAAATAAGTCACCCTTTTAATGAGGTTACCCCCGACCACCCCACTTAGAGCTGGGCCTGCCCTCCTACGCCTCAGCACGTTCACCCTCTCTCACCCCGTGATGCTTTTCCTTTTGTCCGTAGCGCGCCCCGCTTTTCCACAGACTTCATAATTTACTGACGTGGTTCTCATTTGCTGTCCCCCACTCTCCCCACCAAGGTCAGCTCAGGGGGCAGGGACTTGCGTCCCGTGGTCATTGCTGTGCCCCATACCTAGGGCAGCACTGAGACACAAGAGGGGCTCCATGGAGACTTCGTGGATGAATGGATGAGCCTGGAGAAAACTTAGGATGGACTGATCCCAGCCCTCACCCAGGAAGAGCAGGGACCCAGACGGGGACAGGACTTGCGCTGGGTCATACAGCCTGTTGGTGGTGGAAGCTGCAGAGCTGGGGGGAGAATCAGGCACTGGAGTCCCAGGCCAGAGCTCAGCCCTGCGCAGTCCAAGCTACAGTCACCTCCCCCCAGCCCACCCCCCGCCCCCCTAAGAATATGTTTGTTGGTCAAGGTCATGTTCCATTAACTACCTAGAGGACCAGGAAGCTGTGCAGCCCTGGGTGGGGCAGGCTGGGGGCTTGCTTCCTCCCTGATTTTTTAAAAATATATATTTATTGATTTCAGGGAGGAAGGGAAAGGGAAAGAGAGATAGAGACATTAATGATGAGAGAGAATCACTGATGGGCTGCCACCTGCACGCTCCACACTGGGGATGGAGCCCACAACCTGGGCATGTGCCCTGACCGGGAGTCAAACCGTGACCTCCTGGTTCATAGGTCGAGGTTCAATCACTGAGCCACGCTGACTGGGCCTCCTGACTTTTTTAAAAGTAATACATGTCCTGTTACCAACATCCTAACCCCAAGGGCATCCAGAAAGATGGGTTCCAGGACTGGGGAGGTCAGGGCATGTTCCTTCCCGAGAACTGAAGGGCTGGGGTGGGAGTGAGGTAAGAAGTGTTTATGAGGCACCGCCACCCTCCTGACCGGCCCGTGCTGGGGCCTCCCCACAGATCACTCACTGAATCCTCACGCCAGGCTGTGAAGGGGGGGTAATAACAGCCAACGGTATCGACCTGGGTGCCAGCCACTGTTCTAGGCGCTCTCAGTATTCATTCGCTTAATCTGCCCAGCAACTCCGTAGAGTGGATGGCTTCTATTCTCGTCTCCACGTTAGAAATGTGAAACCAGAGGCAGATATGCTGCAAAATGAGTAAGTGCTGCCATTCTGGGAGCTCGGGACGCATCCGTGAACAGAACAACGTGGAGAACCTCGTCCTGTGGGAAACGGGCGCGGGCCCGATGAGTGAGTAAATTACAGAGGGGTGGGGAGGCAATACGCCCGTGCAAAGAAGGCACAGCAGCGGGGTCAGGCTCGGGGTGGCGGGCAAATGGCAGATTTACACAGTGGGCTGGCCAGGCCTCTCTGAGGGGAGACTTGGCACAGACTTGAAGGAGGTGAACCAAGCAGAGCTCTGTGGGGAGGGCATTCGAGGCAGAGGGAACAGCCAAGGCGAGGCCCCAAGCTGGAGTGTGTCTAAGGAGCAGCAAGGGCCAGAGTGGCTGCAGCAGAGAGGGCGAGGGGCAGTCTAGGAGATGGGGCAGGGGTGGTGGGGCCAGATCACAGCCGTGCAGGCCCCTGCAAGGACATTTTCTCCAGCACACGGGCTCGTTCAGATGCTCCCCACATTACAGTGCTCGCATACACTCACAGCCTCCGGCCAACACCCTCCTCTCGGCCTTGTTCACACACCAGGGTTGCTTCTACTCATACTCACACACTCTATACTCACTCACTCTGGCCAATAGGCACACGCTCATACTCACTCACTCTGGCCAGTAGGCTCACGCTCATACTCACACACACTGGCCAATGGGCACTCACTCATACACACACACGGAACTCACTCACATGCTGACCAATGGCTCCTGCTGGGCTTCACCCTCCACCTGCCTGTGTGGGGAGGGACAGGAGTGGTCCTCCTCACCTCTGCCCCCTGTGATCCCGGCATGGCCTCTCCCAGCCCGACCAGGAACAGAAGAGCAGGCCAGTCCTGAGGCCTCAGATCCACGCCCCCCAGCAAAGTGCTGGAGAGACTCCCAGAAAGCACAGATGCGAGGGTCTGTGATTGATTCGCATGGGGTTTACTCACATGTGACTGACTCACACGATTACGTCCACACTAGGATCCCAGACCCACGTGGCCATCCTGCAGGGACACTGAGTGCACTGAGTGGCTCCTCTCTGTGCTGATTGTCCCCACAGGAGCTGGCTGTCCTCGGGCTTGGAGGGGGCTAAGAAAGGGGAAGAGAGTAAAACTGCTATTTTAAGTTATTCTCAGTCAAAACCAGGACAAGGCACCTCCAGGCCAGGCCAGCCTCACCTGCAGCTCCTGGCTAACAAGTAAGTCCCATAGTGAGGCTCCACTTCCTGCGCCTCACAGACACCCTGAACCCCAAGGCGACCGACTAGTGCCCCAGGCAGCTCACCTGCCCTGCAGGAGATCTTGCCAGGAGATGGGGGTTGGATGGTGTTAGTGTTCCCTACTAAAAAGATGATGGTAATGATGGATAGATGACCAATAGACAGACAGACAGGCAGGCAGGCAGGCAGATGATAGGTGATAAAGTAGGTAAACATTCCCCATGTACAGTAAGCCCTCGCTTAACGTTGTCGATGGGTTCTGCAACGAGTGAAATGATGCATAACAATCCAATTTCCCTGCAGGCGAGCGGATATAAATAAAGAGTTAAGTCCCTGCAGCACCTCATGAACGTTAGAGCGCGAAGCAGCGTTAGAGGAAGCGGCGTTCTGCAATGACCTGCCGTACAGCTGTGACTTATCGGGCCTATGTCGCATGCCAGGGCTCCGCGGGCATCATTCCTAATCCTCACACGTGTCTGGAAGCTAGGTTTGCAAACTGCTTTTACAAATGAGACTGAATCCCTGGGAAATTGAGTCATGCAGGCGAGACCAGGAACTTGTGCGTCAGGAGTTGAGCCCAGAGCCCAGGTCACTCTGGTGCCAGATCCTGTGTACTCTGAGGGCTGGGGACCCACTGCCCCAACTCCCTCAACCCTTTGCTGGCTGTGCCCCCAACCTGCCCTGCTGCACCCCCTTGCTCCTGTCACCCCCGCCTTTGGGTGATGCTTTGGTGGAATTCTCGGATGTCAGAATTGGGCGCAGAAGCATGGAGAAGGAAGTGATTGGCCCACGGCCACAGTAAGTCTGGGACAGAGCCGGGCCTGGAGCTTCGTCCCTTCAGCTTGGACCTGAGGATATTTGGAGGGTGGGCACAGCTCTGCTCTGCTGTCCTCCCTCCCTCAGGTGCCAGGGTTGGGATCGGGTCAGAGCCCTGACTTGGTGGGACAGAGCAGCCTCCCCACTGCCCACCTGAGGCCTCTCACCGAGGTCATTCCTGTCCCCGGCCCAGATTCGTCCCTTCCTGGCCAGCGGCTCGGGGAGGCCCTGGTGTCCAGGGAGGATCCGCAGAAGCACAGCCCAGAGAAGTGCTGAGCGGGCACCTCCTGACCACTGGTGGGAAGGGCTTCTGTCTGCCAGTGAGGCGATGGGCACCAGGAGTCAGCAGGCACTCCCCGGGGGTCCCGCCTCCAGATGTGAGGCAGGGAGCAGCCCTCAGGGAAGTGCCCGTCAGTGTCTCGGTCCCTCATCCATGCGTGTGCTGAGTGCCCCGTTATGAAAGATGACAGTTCCCACCTGTGAATGCTTTACCTCCATACTGCGTCCAAGGGACACACTGTGCAGGTTTCCCAACCAGTCTATGGACTGGGCAGCAGTGTCATCCCTCCCATTGGACAGATGAGAGAGCTGAGACTCCGAGGAGGCCACCTCCTTGTTCAAAATGGCTCAGCTGGCAGATGGTGGGCCCGGATGGATTTGAACCCGGTCTTTCAGACACCAAATCAAACATCATCGTGGCTGCTTTCTCTTCTTAAACATGCCGTAATCACTGAACTCATTACTGAACAAATATCATATTTAATTTCCCTAAGGATGCCCTGTGGTTGATATTATTAACCCATTCTGCAGGCGAGAAAACTGAGTGAGGTCCAGAGATGCATGGTGACTTACCTACATCGCACAGTCCGTAAGCTTGTGTCACCATAGCACAAATTCAACCCGGGGTTGCCCCCATTCATTTCTTCAGGGCGCTTCTGATTTGACGGAGGAGGGGATTATGACTGTGGGGAAAGGCAGGCCCCCAAAACGCATCCTTGAAATGAGCGAAGACTTCATTTCCTCTTGGTTGGTTCTTCTGTAGGGGTCATCGGTGACTACCATTGTCACCGAAACAAAACCTAGTGTTCCCTCATTGATTGCCAAGCATTGTGCCAAGTGTTTAACACACTTTCCCTCATGATCCTGACAACAGTTCTACACGTAGGTCCTAGAGTTCCTAGTAACTGAGGCAGAGAGGGCTGAGTATTCTGTCTCAGGCCACACAGCTGGTCATTGGCAGAGCAGAATTTGAACCCAGGCCCAGCTGGCACCATGCAGATGCTGCGAACCCCCATGCTTTATTTCCCACAACCTCTTTGCCCGAGCATGTAACTCGTGCCATGCTCTGTTCCAGAACTGGCCTGTTCTTCAGCCAAGAGGACAGGCAAATGGCCAGGGGTCACCCTCCCTGCCCCCCATCCCTCCCCAATGCTGCCTCGCAGCCCCAATCTGACAGGGCCAACCCAGCCCACGGGCAGCAGGACCAAGAAGCCCCTGCCGAGGGTGACTGAGCCACAAATGTGTTTCCAGCAGCCTCTGCTCGTCCTGCCCGCCTGGCAGAATTTGCTTTGTGATGAATTTTTTGGCCATTTTGAAAGTTGTGCTAAAATGTACAGAACATAAATTTTACTGTTTTAACCATTTTTAAGTGTGTGTTTCAGTGGCATTAGGTTCATAGGCACCATCACCACCATCCATCTCCACGACTTTCTCACCCTCCCAAACTGAAACTCGGTGCCCATTACACACCAACTTCCCTCCCCCTCCCCAGCCCCCTCCTTTCTGTCTCTATGAATATGACCCCCCGTGCCTTGTATACTAGTAAGTGGAGACGTACAGTGCGTGTCCTTTTGTGTCTGTCTTATGTCACTTCACACAATGTCGTGCAGTTTTCCAAATGCTGTAACGTGCATCAGAACGTGGCATTATGGGATATGGACGCTTCTTGACTTTGCTTGTTATCCACGTGCAGGGCCCTGCGAGCTCTGTGTTGTTCCCATGTTAGTGTGTGTGCAGCTGGGAGAGCATTTTGAGGAGGTTGGTGCTGCAGGTAAGTTGGCCCCTGGGTGGCGCCATCATGGCATTATGGATCTGCGACTGGGGAGAGCTGTCTGGTTAGGTTCGTCATTGGGTGAAGGGACTCGGGCTCTGTGTGTTCTGGACGCGGCAGGTGGGGAATCTTTATTCTGCATCCTCCTCAGTTTCCAACGACGGGCAGTGTAATTGGTCTGACACCTTCTGCATTTTTCCTGTAAGTGATGAGTTGTTATCGAGCAGGCTTTTCTCAGCTCCTCAAGGAGAGAAATGACAACTCTCATTGTCATCATCATAGTCGTCGGGGCACCAAGTGGGCCTGGGAGGGGAGCAGAAGGGGCCGCCGTGTCCACCCCACTATACTTATTTCTCACACTCAGCCCAGGAGGTTGGCACTGCTGTCCCCATTTTACAGGTGAGCAAACTGAGGTTCAGAGAGAGGGAAAATGATCCCGAGGCATGCGGGCCGTCAGGGCCAGAACCAGCCTTCAGAGAGATTTCTGTTTGATTGCAAAGCTCACCCCCTTCCCCTGAGACCTGCAGACCCAGTTCTTGGGGACTGGGAGCTAAAGACAGTTAAATACAGAGAAAAGTTTCACATTCATAGAAACTTGGATGAGGAGAGACAGAGTGGGAGAGAGAGAGAGAGAGAGAGAGAGAGATGCCTTGGGTGGGGAGCTCCCCTGAGTCTCTCTGCCTGCGAGAGAGAGAGATGCCTTGGGTGGGGAGCTCCCCTGAGTCTCTCTGCCTGCTCTGGTGGAAATGCCACTCAAGGAACAGAGTGGTTGCAAATGGCTGAATAGCAACCCCAGGGCGTGTCCATTGACAGCCCGCTGGTGGAAGCTCAGATGGGATGCAGCTTCCCGCGGGGCCTCACCGGAAATGTGATGTCTGCTTGGGGGAATGTGGGGTCTGACTCAGTTCTCTGTGCTCAGACCTCCTCAGAAAGGAGGGCCAAAGACACACTGGTGTGTGATGAGGGGGGACACAGGCTGGGAGCTGTGCCCGAGGAACCATGGGGAGGAATGCGAGCGGTAACTGGGGAGAACTGAAGGCTCGCAATGTGGGAATCACCGACACAACACATGTTAAAGAAAGAAACACCTTGTTCCGGGCGTCCCCATGGGGTTGGGTTGGGGAGTTGGAGGAGGCAGCAGCTGTCACCACCGCCCCATGTGAGTGGGGATGCTGAGCCAGGAGGGGTGTGTGCAGTTGGGGTGGGCTGCCTGGCGTGCCCCTGGAGGCGGGTGGCGTGCTGACAGCCAGAGGAGCCTGTTAGGGAGGGACTGGCGGGCCCTCGCAGCCCAGCATCCTGTGCTCTGTGAATGGAGGTGGCAGAGAGAATGGAAAGAGCCAGAGGATGTCCTGGTGAGTCAGGCAGAGCAGCACCTGGGCTGGGGGAGGCCGGGGCTGCAGCCTCGGCCCAGATATACAGCCAGGTCACAGCCAGCTGCCCTGAGCTGGGCAGGCACCTGTGTGCCCGCCTGGCTAGTTAAAACCCTCTGGACTCCTGTCTGCTCGTTGGGACGAGGTGACTCCGCACTCACCGCCACTGGCACAGACAGCACTCACTGTGGACCAGGCACCGACTGTGAGGGAGGCCCATCACCTCTTCCCCTTACAGAGAGACCACGTGGCTGGCAAGGTCACACAGCTGGTAAGTGAGCGTTCTGGGCCTTGAACCCTGCGGCCAGCACGCACGCTCTGACCCCCTGGCGTTATCCTCTCCATGCAGGAGCCACACTGTTGTCTCAGCCACACAGGGCTGGCCATTTCCCAACCCCCTCCCCACCCCCCACCCCGAAGGCCACCAGAGGATCTGTCACAGCCTGAGGCAGGAGCACAGGCAGTGCCTCCACAGGCACTTCCGCACCTGTCACCAGGGAATCCTCACTGGGAGGTGAGCTGGGCAGCCTGCCGGCGGGGCTCCCTGAGGCCTGACTTCCTGTCTACTGTGAGCCAGGGATTCACTAACACTGTTACCACGTGTCTTCTGAGAGAGACTTCTGCACCCACATGGGGCAGCAAGCATGTCCTGCTGTGGGGGTGAAGCCGCGATGCCGTCCTGCGCAGCCTGGACCGGTGCTGCCCACGTCCCCGTGTCTAGCTGGCTCAGGGTTGCCAGCCTCCAGGCCCGAGGCCTGGACCTCCAGGATCAGAGGTGCATTTCCTTTGGCTCAGCAGCGCCCTCTCCTTCATACAGCACCCCTCCCCTGAGTGAGCTCCTCTGCAGACCTGACCTGGGCCTGCGGGAGGGGTGCTGGGCGCTGCCTCCGCATCGCCACGGGCTGAGTGTGGCTCCTCTGCTTGCTGGCGGGGCGAGGCCAGCCCTCGTAGATTTGCCGTGAGGATTAAGTTAGTGGCTACATGCAGATTACTCAAAGCTGCTTGACATAGTAAGAGTTCGATACATCTTAGCTGTCATCGCAGGAAGATAAATATTTGTCGTCGCCATCAAACAGTTAGCCTAACGCTGAGACCTGCTTCCTGCTAAAAGCCGATTCCTCTCCATTCAGTTCAAGGCAGTCCAGTCTGGGGGAGACCCAGCTCCACGCCTGGCGGACCTGGCTTTCAGCACTAGCTCAGCCCCGTTCCAGCATGAACTGGAGCCGGTGAGCCACCTGCCTTGGCCTCAGTTTCTTCATCTGTAAAGTGGGGTCATTATTCCTACCTCAGAGACAGGGTGCAGAAGCAGAGGCCTGCGGGTCAAGCACTCAGCACAGGGGAAGAGCTCAATAAACTGTGTGCAAGGCAGGCCGGCCACGTCTGCACCCCTCCTGCAGCCTGAGGGAAGCAGCAGCCCTCCGGGGCTCTCAGGAAAAGGGCAGGCTGGCCAGCCTGGGCTGTGCTGGGTCTAACGAGGCCCTTTCATGTGCCCTGAGATCTCATCCGGCCAAAGAGCTTGGCAGGCCTGAAAGCCTTGAAGAGCCAGTAATGAGGGTGCAGAGCCAGGGAAGGGGGGTGGGGGTGGGGGTGGGTGGAGCTGGACAGGCCTTCTCCAAATGCAGGCCTGGGCAGTGGGCAGCTCTGGTGCATCCCTGATGGGGGAGGGGAGGGGGGGCCCCTGCAAAGTGGCTGTGCTGGGGCAGCTGAGGGGGTGGGGGCTGAGGTGACAGAGGTGGCATTTGCTGACTACGTTTCTTGTGTAGGCATCCATTTCTTCCACGAATACACACTCATCGGCTCCTATCCGTCACTCACCTCGTGCATCAAACTCCGCGGGTTCCCTGTCTTATCTGCAGGAGCTGTGAGTCAGAAGAGGCAACTGTAGTGCATAAAGGCTGAAGCACAACCGAATCGAGTCCTGGTCCTAGGAGCCAGCAGGGCACCCGTAGTCAGGAAGCCTTCCTCACTGAGACGCGGGCGCCAGGCTTCC